GACGGTGAGTGTGGTTTGTTTGGATTTGTGTGTGTGTGTGTGTGTGTGTGTGCACACGTGCGGTTTGTGTGCACGATTGTATTGCATTGTTGTTGCTTGGATGTAGTTTGGTTACTTGATGTTTATTTTGTGATGATGTTCCGGAGGAGTTGTATTTTGTATGATTGTGCTCGGGTGCGCTGTACGCACAAAGGGAGCAAGAGGGAGGAGGAGGAAGCAGTTTTGAATTATTTCGTAATGTGTATTGCTCACTGCCGACGATTTTATTGTGTTATTTGTATTATTATTATAGATTGTTGTTGTTGTTCGTTCTGTTGCTGTGGTATATATATATATATATCTTTATTTATATATATGTATGTATATTTGTGTTTGATTGTTTTTCCACTTGATTTGTTGTGTACAGGGTCGGGATTAGAACTGAGCCTTGACCGTAGTGCTGTGGTTATTTCTGATCGTGCTCCGACGTCGCTGGCTGTATCTGGCAAATTGTCGTCTACCGTGAATGCACATGAAGAATCGATTTCGAAACGGCGTGCCTCGGAGACGACAGATTCTAGGAGGTTGACGGCGACGCTTGTTGCGGAGGCTGCGAATACGAGTGAGGTTTTGCATGTTGATGTGGATTCGGTTGGTGACGTGTTGGTCTGTGATGCCAAGGCTGATGTTGCTACCGAGGTTGTGGCTGAGGCCGAGGCGGAGTTGGACTTGGATGGTGCTGGTGATGTCGAGGCTGGATCCGGATCGCGACTGGATGTTTCGTTTTCTGATGGTGTTGTTGGTCTGTGTTCTGCAATTCGTGGTCCGGTATCGTTACGAGCTTTTGCTGAGTCGGATGGGTTTTGGAACATTGGGGTGTCTGGTCCTCGTGGTTCGAACAATTCGGATGTTGCTGATTCCGATTTCGATCGTGTTGTTCATCGCTCTAGTGCCTCGCGCTCGGGTTTGTGCTTTATTGTGTTTTTCTTTTTTCATCTATTTTTGTTTGTTTCAATGGCTGCTGGTTTTTCGCTCTGTGATCTCGTATTTTTGCTTTCACCCCTCACTGTTTCTGTTAACTCTTTTAGGAGAAAGTCAAATTTCCTTTCGGACATCGGGGGTAAGTGTTTTAACGTAAGAAATTAACATTACCTTCTCGTGCTTCCTCCCTGTTTCATTTTGCGCCTTATATTCATTGTTTTCTAATTAATTTCCAGACTACGTCGTCCGTTCGATTTCGTCGGCTTTTGAGCAAGCAAGATAAATGTATGGCTTTTGACGAATGTGAGTTTAGTTTTGTTTTGTTTCGGATTTTATTTCGCTGTTTCCCTTACTGTAGTCCTGTGAACAAAAACAATAAGGATTTACTGCAATTGTGCGTAATGTAATTTCGCTACGTGCCTGAACAAAGCAGCTTGTCGGCACAACCATACCACCGCCAACTGTAGCTTACTGTTATTTCCTTCCATTTTCAATTCGACCGACTTTTGTGATCGCTGTGTAACTAATCATTCAAGAGTGATCGTGACGGAAAGGCAGATTCTCAAATGTTAGGTGCTTCCAGCCGCCGATTTTTTTATATATCGACGGAAAATCGTGGGCTACAGACCGAACAATGTGATAGATCTTGCGTCAACGTGTTCGGAACCGCGTGTATATGTTTGGATGACAAAACTTGACTATCACGTTTCCCTACGTGGTCAGGCTACACAAGCGCTCTAACTTGCTTAGAAACACATGGCGATCGATGTGTCAGATATGAGCTGTGCCCTGCACCGTCCAGATGCAAATTGCTTGTGTGAAAGTGGAAGGGATCTGCGCCTCACCTCACTTTTCAGTACCTCGAGAGATGTTTCAGAGCTGTATTTTAATTTTGGGAACAGATAACATCACAAATAGCAAAAGCTTCAGCAGTTTTTGCCGATCTGCAACAGTTATGGTGCCACCTTGACATCCGACTTTTCCGTAGACAAAGGTGTAAATCGCCTTGGTCCGTGACCTCTTTTACCGTTGCGAAATCTGGTCCCTCCGTGCTGCTTATGATGAACTTCGTCTTCGTGGCACCGTTCATTTAAGGCGGGATCATCGATTGGGTGACTGCCGGGTTCGTCGTCGTGTTATTTGTTGCTCGTCGTTTTCTAAAAGAGGATATCAATCTGCACGTTTTGTCCTTGCCACTTGTTGTATTCATCTTTCCAGGCTCTTCACATCTGCTGAGGAACGTTGAAATTAGCTTCGCCGCGATCAAACCGTGATGCATTCGTATTTGATCCACGCCTGAATCTAAACTGGGCCAAGCAAATCATAGTAAAATAATCTTGATGAAAAGACGAAGGTTCCCTGATTTTCTTTAGGGCGGAATACTGTCAGGTTGCCTGGCTTGAAAGCAGGTGAATTCTCATATATATTGTCAGTTCCTATAAGTTGCGATGTGTTCCCGTCCAGTTGCGGCTGCGTCTAATCATTTTGTCTTTGTACCCGTTCTTGCTTTTTTCGTCTGCAGTAAATAAAAATTCTCCGACGGCCGTGCACTTTGTTGATACAGATGCTACGACAACAAGTTCCAAGGTTTGTGTGGTAATTCATAGTTCACGATCTCGCGAATTTTCGGTTATGCATTTTGGTCGTTTATAGTTCACTTCGTACTAGAATATCCATTCTTTGTACTCGATCATCTGTATAGTTGTATGGTCTTTTGAATCAGAACGTATTCCTGATTTTTGTAGCATTTGAGGTAGCTGTAGGATGTAGTCTGGAAGCACACGTTTTGCGTTTCCTCAAATAGACTACTTGAACGTTCTTTGTCTAGCACAGTGCAAAGGACCGAAGAAAGTCGGTGATTAAAACTTCTGTCGCTGGAACGCATAATAATATCGGTTTTTATGATTGCCGTCCCTTAGCCAACGGTTTCAGATAATCCAATGTACCATTGGAACTTTTGTTGTCATTGTGAGTGCCTTAAGCGCGTTTATCCGATTCCAACTGTCTAATTTGTTTTGCATCTTCTGATTGTAATTTTCCATTTCTCAGTCGTCTGATTTGATTGGAAGAAAGTGTAGACACAGCGGTTAGGAATCAGTGACCAGTTATATGATGTTTTGAGCAATTATGGAATAGGATGTCTTCTTGGCTGAACCAAGATTGGACCAATGACACATGCGTTGATGCCTCCATCTCTAGTAGTATGCTTGTTCGTACACTTCCTGTTTAAACAACTGAACGTAATGAACTCAGAAGACGAGGAAATTTCACGATGAATTTTATTTTCCCTGTCGGGATTAAGTCACAAGGAAAGTATTGTAACTTCACCTGTGTGTTGATTTCGAATCAGCCATACTGTTCTTGACAGCTCGTTTGCTTAACTGTCTTCCAAATCTGTATTTCGTAATGTGTGATTGCCATGAAGTCTAAATTTGTGCTAGGGGTTTTGCCCCTCAATCACTGTGAATGCGACATTTTGATCGATTTTGTTTCCCTAACCTTTTGATCACAGTTGCTAGCTGTTATCATCATCGATCATATANCCTCATTAATTGAACGAAACGTTTTGCGCACGTTCACTTGATTCTCTTTCAACCCACTTCGATTTTCAAATATGATTTGCACGATTAAGTCACCTAGTTGGTTCACGTAATACAATCCGGAAAGTGCATGGTTCTAGTTTGTGAAAACCGCACATTTCCAATTGCAGTCGATATTGGATTCACTGGTATGTCTGTCATAAATAACTGACATTCGCCACGTTCACCGCCGCCGGCATAGTACTCGAGATGTTCTTATACCAATTGTTTAATTTCTTTCAATATGCGGAAAATAATTCATTTCCTGGCCTACGATAACTGTCTGCTAATAGCTCACACCCCAACTGTGGTATCCAGGTGAGATCTTTTAGATCTTATTCGAATCTTAACATCCTGCCTTTGAGAAACCAATCAATTTAGTGCCGTATCTACCTATCTGTCTGTATCCAGGCTCATTGATTTTCTCGACGTTAATGTGATTCGCCATTTATCCACAATGTTCTTGTAATGAGACGCTCAGAAAAGTTTCGCAGTGTATGTTTTATCTCCCAACTTCGCTCACACACAAGAGCTGTTCTTATTGCAGTCGGTTGTATTTGTTCAGTCTAACCAACAGGTGCCGACGCGTTTCAGCCGTTCCAGGTACAGCAAACCACCGAAACGCTGTTCCATAAAACTTCCCAATCCGCGTTCCATTCCAACGATGATATTATTGAACTCGGACTCGGATGATAAGGAGAGTGGTCTAAACATCAACGACGATGTTGAATTTGATTGCCTTGGTAACAAAACTTCGGTTCGTCTGTTATCACTTGGTGAAATATCAAATAAAAAGGGTAATTTTTGTTTGATTTTTAACTGGCTTTTTCTGCATTGTCGTTATCGAACTACTATTTTTCGTTCAAACTTGCTCTTTTATATCCCTTATTCTAGACTCTTAGCCGTACCACTTAGTGCCTCTAACCAACGGCTGCCATTCACGGAGCCTAGCGCAACCTACAAGACCAAGTCTCCTGGTTAGGTTTTCATACCCTCGTGCGCGGTCTTATTTTGACCACTCGTAGCTTTTTTCCACCCACCTGCAAATATCACGCGCCATGGCAACCCATATGGTGACATGCGTAACGCATTCATCAATCTGCAGAGATCGACCACTTGCTCCAGTTGGTGCCTGCAACTACCTGTACCCAACCTCAGCATTGATCGACTGGCTGCCCTACCAGATTCGTGCAATGCTGCATAAACAGCGGTGTTCAAACATCGGCGGTCCATCTTTATCTTGCTTTTTTAATGGTCAAGTTTCGGCGCCGTATACCAGAACTGGCCGAACTGTGGTGGCCTATACTCGACCCTTCACAGATAGCCAGATGTCGCGACGGCGCCACAGATGTTTCAATTTAGTAAATACCAATGCTCACTGGAGATTGAACAAACTTTTAGCATCGATAGATTATCTTCCAAACATCGTTGTACTGCCGCACCTTTGTCCATCGTCAAGCGAAGTTGCTTTTATGTCTTTCTAGGTATTATAAATAACCTATATGCCTCAAACCGGTGTCGGCGTAGCACTAAATATTAGCTGAAAGCCGTGAATTTTAGCGGGATCAGCAGCCATTCCTGAAGACGAGGCAGGTTCTCACTTGCCCTCTGTAAAATAGGTTGACGAAAAGCACTGTTACATGTGTCAACCCGGTTTGCCACCTAACGAGATCATTACGAGCATTGTGTTGTCCTAAAATTAAAACCTGATTGTGCAAAGGCTAAGTGTGTCCCCAATGAAAAAGTCTTAAGTGCTACCAAAACGTCTTTTTGTACCCGTTCTTTAGGTTCATCCATGAAAATTCTCACTGGACGTTTGAATCGTGCGACGAAACACCTATAGATGCTTGTGCACTGCACAACCAGCTGTATCAAGTACTTACCAAAACGCACTAGTTTAGAAGCAAAATAGAACAGCAAGACCGTTTACCTGGGATGGGCAATAATCTGAGCCGCTTTTTAGAAAACATTTGTCGCTAGTTGCATTAGTTTCAGTTTTTACAATCATGAACCATACAATTTCGTGCGCCGGTTTTGGTTGCCAGTCTTTTGCCGCCCNAAGATCTGAATGTCCAGAGCTCCAGAATTTGGTGAAAAGTGAAGATGTAATCCATACAACCTTAACCAGGTCTAAAATCAGCCTGATTCTCACACGTGCAATCTTTACGTGTGGCATTCAGTCGACAGAGTATGATCCCAGAGAGAAGTTTAGAGACAACGTTGATTAAACTTATTCCTCTATAATTTTCACAAAAGGATCTGTCTCCTTTCTTGTAAATCGGTAAGGTCACCGATTCACACTATTCAGTTAGAACCTGTTTCCCTCTCTCATACCGACCCCGGGAGTTTCG